TTAAATTTATTAAATTTACTCTATTTATTGTTTATGCTTCCTAAAAAATTAAAAATTCATTGTACAAACAGATATAAAATCCCCGTTTGTCATAACAATGTTTCTCTTTATTATGCTTCCTGTCAGTTTGTCTCTATATAACCCATACCCTACTATTCTCGCACAGTGATGAGAAAGTTTCTAAATGGTGGAATCAAAAATCAACAGCTGTAATCGAATGAAGTTTCCTTTCCGTCATGAAATTATAGCGATTTCACCATTAATTTCTAATTGCAGAAAAGACAATTGCAAACAAGATTTGATTCCAAAATTTACGATTTTAGAGTGTTATGCACCACATGTACAGTGGTATTAATCCCATTCTTGAGAACATTCAAGCTATTGCAATTTGTACTTTTGATAAGGCATTTAGAGATTTTGTTAAAACAGATGACTTTGCTCTCGTATTTTCTGTTTTCTGATGCAGACTGTTATCGTCTGTTTTATCGTACGAAATTAAATTTGTCCCGTAGCCTGTCAGTAAAACACCCAAATGTATTTTTTCCTCAAACTTTTCTTCCTTAAATTACAAATGATGAAATAATTAATGTTGCTAAATAAATGTAATTTTACTAGAGGTACCGGTTATCAATGTCGCACTCTGTGATCTGTATTGGTTTCTGTTCCTCGAAATATTTCAATTTACGTCACTGAGAGTTCAGCCAATGAGCGTGGCCAGCAGAGTTGTTTACGTTTCTGACGTTACTGATCCCCTGCGTCTGTATCGCGCATATCAGACACGCAAGGCCAGTCTATATAGATTTCTGTGTTGAAGGTAAACACGAGGTCATCCTTTCTGCAAGCTACTACAGTTTTTCGTTTCATCGTAGTAAACTGACCCCCGTTCAACATTCCACAGGGGTCACTTTTCGTCGTTACTCCGGTAGAGGGCTCTATTACTGATATCAAACAGGGAAGGTCAGTGTTTTTACTGATCATGCTGATGCTGAATAATTCTCTGTTGAGGGTGAACTTGCGGTCAGACTATCCCGTCTGTAAGCAATGTGTTGGTAGTTTTTAGTCCAGGATATGCATAAATTGTGGTATAAAAATCATAGATAGATATGCTACATTTGATTATGTTTTATTATCAATTAAATAGTTATGAAATAGATATATCTAAATATTGTTTTACTAGTTGCAGGTATTTTATCTGCTTTGTTCATGGGTGAGTAAATTTTGAATCCAGTACATGTGAGTTTGTGGCTAACCAGAGCAGAAAGTGTAATAAAAAAGATAAATAGCAAAGATTACGAAATTTCTTCGAAACAATTGTCCAATTTCTGTAAACCAACTTTTATTGGTAGGTCGCGACCTACTTAAAGTCGCGAATATTAATCGCCGCGAACCTTTTATTTTGCTTTTGTTTTTGTAGAATATGTTTCCTTATACGTGAAAATTAATCGTCACGGATTGATTTTATACTGACAAATCGCGAATAAAAGATGACACGAATAAATGTTGGTTTACAGTATTGACCTTTGCTTAGAATTTAATCCAATTTTTTCTTGAATTTGGAATAAAAAAATTTAAGACAATTATATTATTTAATTCGTTAGAAAGGTTTCGTTTTTCAAATAAGTAACTTAATTGGTTTATACAAAATTTAAAACCTGTATAAATTAAATTCATTGATACTGGATTAATTTATATTTTTCTAATGGCTTTTCCCCCCACTGTACATATAATGATCTTAATACTAATAAGAACACAGACACACACACCCTCAGGTACATTTCAGATTTCTTTTAACCCCTTCCATGGTAAAGATTTTCAGCATTTCTAGACAAATTGATGTTAAGATTTCAATGCATTTTTTCGGGCATTTCTTGTAATTTTTGTAGATACCAATGTATGTATATTGACTATATTCTGAAGACAGGTATTGTGTAGTTTCTGAAAATGATAATAAAATATCATTTTAGTTGCCATGGCAACGAACTACACCATAATCATGCTGGCATTTTCATTGATTCAAAATAGAATTTCATTCTGTTTTGTTTTTTTTTTTTTGCTTAGTTAAATATGTTTTAAAATATTTTATTATTGTGTTGAAAAATTTGGGCATGTTGACAACTTCTTTTAAAAACCAATTTTAAGTATTTTTGGGGGGATGGGTTGGAGTTGCGATGTAAACACCAGAATTCAGCATTTTTTTCTTGATATTACGTACGTGTTACCACCGCGCCGATTTTGATAATGGCATTATCATTCGAATAGTGCGCAAAGTTGAACTCGAGCTAGCAAAAAACGGTACAACCAATAAAAAACATTTCTGTACATTATTTTATCGTAATTATTTTCTCTTTCTAACGTTGCAAGAATTAATCTGATGTTTGCAAATTAATCAAGTCATGAATGTTTGTTCACACTATCTTTGTTTTTCAAGTCAGATGCGTAGAAATGCGTATATGCCATGAAAGGGGTTTTAATCTTAAAATTTGTAATATCGAATTCTATAATTAATGCGTTACTACGATTTCAATAAATTATTAAAACGACATTTTGTTATCAAGATGAATTATATTACCTGAATTTCTTTAAGGTAAATTAATCTGTGCAGAAAGCGTTTGGCCTAAAAGTGGGCTAATTCACTTAAATGTACATTAATTTACTTATTTGTACACTGGACTGACGACGGATTTTTCCGTTATTTCCCGATCATGACAAGGAGCACACTGCGGATGTGACTCCTCCATGGCACCTGATCCCACCTCTGATGATTTGGAGGTCTGTGTTTGCTCTGCTCCTGTTTTGTATTGTTTTAAGGACTTTTGAGCTTGAATACTGTTCGTTATCTCCATATGTTTTATCAAATAATCATCAGAAATCGGTATATCCAGTAAAGAGGAATTTAACAGGTGCGTTATACATATATAAGGAATATGAACACAAATCTTCTTTCAATTTTTATTTTTTTCAAAGGAATCTATTCGTATGGTGAAAGTCCTTTTCAAACAAAAAAGAAATCATCCAGAGTGTCGTTTTCAAAGAACTTTTAATACTTCTTCCTTGTAAAGGCTTCAAATCATCCATAATATAGCACAAATTTGCCCTTTGTGGTCTGTTGTGGTTTCCCCAAGATATTTAAACTCTACGCCAGCGAGAGTTTTTTTAATCACCCAATGCAAAGACCACGTCCGGTATTATGAAAAAGAGTGATCCCTGTGAATATTGACCAAGTTGTCAAATTTTTACGTATAGAAAAATTACCCGTGTCAGTTTACTATTAGAAGTAGGGTCATCATTTTTCGGCTGCAGTGAACCTTTCCATACCGGTTATTCTACGACTATTCACGTTGAAAAACGACCTCATTGAAATTTGGCCCCGAACTTTTTCCTACAGTTTATAAAACATTTAAAATGAAGTTTGATGCACGTTAAATTATGCACGTTAAGCTGGGGTTGTAGAGGGTCGACAAAGGCCAAGAGATAATATTTCTGATTCATTTAATACTGTCAAATGTTTGTTGGAGAGGAAGCTTATAATTCACCTTTTCTCTGACACCTGCTAACAGCATCACGTACAATGTGTATGATATTGCATTCTAATGATATATATTATTGACAAGTATAAATGCATGATTATATACCTGCCCGATCCTCATCCTTTTTAGTTCAGCTGAGCTAAATGTACAAGTTATTTTTTCTGATCGAAATTTGTCCGTTGTCTTTCGTCGACGTTGTCGTCGGCGTTATCGTAGTCATACATTTTTCACAATTTCATCTGCTTCTCTAGAACTACTGGGCCATGGATAAATATCATTTATTTCCTATCTAGCTTGTAACACGACCTTTGATTGGTTACAAAGCTGGGTGTAAATATCCGTGCACCCGACTTGAGCCGGGTGGAAATAAAACGTGACGTCACAATGCAGGCATTCTCTATGATAAAAGCCAAATAACATGACGTCACGATGCATTGTAGTACGTAGTTCAATCTACAAATCATCTGATGTTTAAAAAGCATTTTTATGGGTACAAAGGAAATAAATTCGTTATCCAGGTCCAATCAAGTTGTTACCCCGGGTTTTATTCCATACACCCTGAGGCCGAAGGCCTCATGGAATAAAACCAGTTCCCCGTAATACCTGTTTAATCTATACAAATCATGTGAGATTATTTTTATCCCATGTTGTATACACCACAATCAATGTTTAATACTGTTTTTATATAGGACTCGACTTCAATTTACTTCATCACTCTAATGCAAACCTATTGTGACGTCAGAACTGTGTGATACGAATAACGATATCACATAAGCTATATCAAGGGGATAAAGGGTTAACCATGGGATAAATAGAATTTATCATTAGATCAAATGCTGACTTTTTTAAAACTGATTGTTTTGTCATTATTTAGACAATGAGTTGTCGAAGGATTTTTCCGCCCCCTTCTTCCAGCACAAGGAGCACACGGTGGGTGTGACCGGTCGACAGGAGGTGCTCACGCCTCAATGGCACCGGATCCAACTTCAGATGTTTTGAAGGTCTGTGTTTGCTAAACTCCAATTTTGTAATGTTTAATGGGATTTTTGAGCTCGGATACTGTTCGTTATCTCCATATATTACATTTATTCTTTTTCTTATTCTTATATTTTCTAAAGTCTATCCTTTACACCCTGTTGTAGCTACATCCACCACTCCCAAGGGTCAATTTTGTTAAATTTTGAATTCATGATAAGTAAAATTTATATGGAATAAACCCCAGGTAGTATAGATTGAAGTTTTTTTTTCTCCAAATCAGGACCGCTTGGTATAGCACCATAACAAGTTATCAAAGTTTATTATAAGAATGTGCAGTTAAAACATCTGCTGGTGAAAGACAGAAGAAAAAATTGTCTTAGTTGTTGGTGTATTAAATCAGTTTGTAACACTTATCTGCATCAAATGCCGCCTTCCTGTCCGTATCATATCAACCGTTGCGCAATGCTTCTTTTTAAACATCACAGCAAGCTAAAGATAAAACACTTATACCGATCCACTCGAATGTTCTATACAGGTGGATCTCTCCTTCTGTACATAAGCTTAGCAAGACAGTTGTTTGCCAAGTCCGTGTGTAAGTGTGAAACTTTCTAGTCATTAATGATGTCGATTCCTGCATATTTATTTCTTTAACTCAAATCTATTTAAATTGATCAATTTGCATTTTTCTAGTACATTCTAGCACAAGCTTGAAGTCAACGTTAGGCATCTCTCTCTCGTTTTCTTTCTATTATTGTGTATTTGATTATGACGTATTTATCTTTACATTTTATTTATTTATCTTATTTTTATACCTCTTTATTCCTTCAGTTACTTTTTAATGTTAACTTTACCTCTGTGTTTTTTCGTTATTTTAGAAGACGAATCAAGCATGTCGAGGTTAAGAAATTTCCCTTGGAATTTTCACGCCCTCCTTCTATTTGTTTTACTGGGACAGCACGCGTGTATGTGTTCTCGGTGTTCTATTTATAGTAGTCGATAAGATTAGTGACACTCTTTTGCTCTTGTTAACATTGATAATTATTTGTTTGATATAGAATTACACAAAATATAAATCCATATTAAAAGAATTTCTTGGGGGTATCAGACAAAGTCATATTGCTGAAAATCATAATTTTTCTCCTTTTTTCAGATGTTTTGTGCAAGTTCAGTTATTCCTTTAAGTTGGATGAACATGGACTATACACACCGGGTGAAACCTATAATACATCGTGTTATGTTGAAGCGTCGGGCAATGACAGCGTGTCAGATGTGGATGTTTACTTGAGTTTTGGGAATTCAAACTACTGCCACAACGGACAGATAGGATCAGCAAATAGAAGCCAAAGCTGTTCCGAGGCGTCAACCGCGAACAGGATAACCTACTCACTTTCTCTACCTGGTACGATGTTTAAATGTTTATCGTGAAATCTGCTTAATAGTATTGTTAATAAAAAACCTTTTTCCGGATGTTTTCAAAGCAATATACGAGGGGTGATCAAAAAGTTCGCGAACTAATTGAATAACTTCCTTAAAAGAAACAATATTTTGGTTCAGTGTTGATTATATTTTAAACTAGTCCTCTCCAATTTTAATGCACATCTGCCACCGTTCTGCTCATGCGCGAATCACGTGATATAGGCGATCACGTGACCCCCTCCGTAGCTTTGTGTCACAAAAGCTGAAAGATTTTTCCGAGTTTTATAATTCTTTCCATGTAGGTTAATTTTTATAACAAGAACCGTTCATTTGTCAGGAATGGTCAAATCTCGGCAACAGAATGGGTGGATAAGAATTTCTTTTCCAAAAATAAGCATGGCGACCATCAAAACCCAAATCTTCTCTCTCGGGAGAGACGTTTATTCAAGTTGGATAGAGAATGAGTGCTACCTTTTTATCATATCTAATATGTTAAAAATCTAGAGGAAACGACATCTTAGGTATTTAATAATTATGTTATTGTTAAAATATTCAAAGTATAAGTTGGAGGTCTTTGATAGCAAATTACTCAATTATACTTGTAAACACATCTCTTCTCAAACTTGCTTTCACTGGGCAACAAAACAAGTATCATTTTAACCATCTGCCTTCCTCCACTAAAACGACCAATCCAATCACTGATTGAATTTATAGGAAGTCATTTAACTTAATAAACTGTCTACAAATTATTATACGCTACTTCAAAGGGATTCCTAAGATATACGATGAATTCTATAGTCGTTTGTTGAACAAGTACGAGTGAGATAACCGTTTTTCGTCATCTACATAGTGACGTCATTTTCACATTGTAACTTCACAATCAAGGAGCAAAACGTTATTCAATATATGCTATTTATAGAACCTCTGTATGGCTATGTGTGTACCCCTTTTTTTTTCTAATCTGAAATATGGTTTTGTAGATATAGAGATCACCCCTTGTAATATAGTTGATTTAATGTTACCTGTTTTATTTTCATGGGTATGGAGAATCAATGTTTAGCTTTAATTTTTAATTTTCAGTAGAATCTGGTTAATTTAATTATGAAATGAATTTAATTTTTGAAGATTCATGAGGATATGAACTACGACGCTTCATGCCGGCATATTTCATGAAGCGCGTTAGCGCTTCATGATAAATATGCCGGCGTGAAGCGTTGTAGTTTAAATACCTAATGGATCTTCAAAAAATTAAATTCATTTCTTATATTTACATTATTTTTCTGATGACTTGCCATAAATTTACGCCGTTCAACTGTCATTTTTAAAACAAAACAGTGTGCACTATATTTTTTGACTTTTGACGTCGAGAGCGGTATTATGACGTAACAATGGAGATATTCATGCTTATTCGTGGTACATACCTAATGTAGTTCATGAGAAAATATACTGCATTTTATTTTGTAAAGAAACATAGGGGAAATTTATTGGAAATGTAAATATTGTAAATTGTTTTCTTATTCATAGGGATGTTACTTAATTGATATATGTGTTCTTCATTAGACCTTAGAGTCACTGACAGTGGCATGTATTCCTGTAAAATAAACAACAGGACCACCGGAGCACACAAACTGTCCATCCATCAGAATATAAGCGTTGTTGGTAAGTTAAAATGTAACATAACTGCTTATTTAAAATCGCCTAAATCCTAACCTTTGAAAAAGATTCAGAAAAAAAATTTCATTAATTTTTAGCAGCACACTTCAGATATCCAACTTGTGTGATAAATATAATGCGATCTTAGATGTGATATAAAAACACTTCATGTGTGTGTCTGAAAGAGAGAGATATTTGTTATGAATAACAGGTTTTTTTTATATGCACAAACTATAGACAAATCTATTCACTGAATATTGTTTTCTGCAGACCCGGCTAGTATAACAACTCATCAACAACTGACAACTCAAGGTATGCGTGAAATATAGTTGTATAATACTATTTTTTAAGATTTTTGAAACATCTTTCAATTAAGAGCACTTTTATAAATAACAAGATGGAAAAAATAATTTTATTAATATAAAATACATGGTTACTGTCTTGAAATATAAGCGATATTCGGGCGAGGGTAAGAAAACGTGATAGAGGGCGAGGCTTGCCGAGCCCTCTTACGTTTTCGACTCGAGCCCAAATATCGCTTATATTTCAAGACAGTTATCATGTATTTTGTTTATCCTGCAACATATATTTTACATTTGAACGTCCAAAACAAGCTATTTTCGACAGATTAAGGCACATCTCTGCAGTTGAAACTATGACGCCATGGCGTAAACATAGAGGATATTCAATGTTTTGTAGTTGAATATGGAATTTATTTCACGAGTGGGACAGGATTTTTGATATTTTCACGAGTGCGAAGTGAAAATATCAAAAAATCCTGTCTGACGAGTGAAATAAATTCCATATTCAACTACAAAACATTGAATTTTCTGTTTATTACATTTTCAAAAAAAATTCTTTGATTTTTCATTTGCGTCTGTCTTTTTGTAATGCAGTCATGGGCTCGTGACGTCATAGTTGAACGGTTGAGACGTCATAGCTAAGTGAGGTGAAAACACTGTAAACATGAATTTGACAACATATTTTTGGTAATTTTGACAGTTTTATTCGCTGTCAGAATGGTTTATTTATTTCCATCGATCTTATATTACGTCAAGGAAGATTTTTTTTACAGCAATCTTCGTTATGAGAAAGGAAATCGAGAGTTTTCCCGCACTTCTGATATTCGTCACACTGTGACAGGATATCATTTTGATATCCTTTCACACTGTGACAGGATATCATTTTTATTCAATGAATAAATTACAGTATTTCACGGGTAAAAATGTAATAAATTGCAATATACATGACGTCACAATGCTTTTAGAACGTCGGAATACATGCACGAGGCTTTATTAGGACAGTGACTTATGAGCTTTGATTTATTAGGCTACCTTTATTAGTTCAATGCAAGGGGTAGTTGCAGGATAAAAATATATGTCTGTCATCATCTACTAGTAGTTGCTGTTTCATTGCAAACTGTCGCTGTCGAATATAACTTAGTTTATTTTTGTCATCAGTTTATGGCACCTGATTCCAACTCTGATGTTTTGGAGGTCTGTACTTGCTTCACTCCTACTTGTATTGTTTAATGGACTTTTGAGATCGAATACTGTTTTTTATCTTCACATATTTCATCTATTCAATCACATGGGGCATGTTCCATTCTTGTTTTCAATCGATCGCAGACTGATAGTTGATTTGAAAATACTTCACCGTTACGCAACAGAGAAATTTACAAAGCATTTTAAACATTTATCCAACAATTTTACTTCTCACGACGTTTTCATAGATTAAGAACGTGCATTCATTCTTTTAAATGAAATATATATGGAGATAACGGACGGTATTAAAGCTCAAAAGTCCATTAAACAACACAAATCAGGAGTATAGCAAGTATGGACCTGTAAAAATCATCCTCTGTTATCGGTTAGCTAACGTTAGATAATTTAATTTGATACATTGAGCTCGCTTATATTCACTTTATGCAATGATACTTATATTTATTGAGTTTTATTTGAATACGCAAACTGAATACAATCAACACTATAGTTCTTTTCATGATTTCAAGAATTCTTTACGTTCTTCTCGTAAGGCTCTTTCCCTTGCAGATTTCCTTTTCCTTCTCAAAATCCATGTACTCCTTCTTTGGTGTTATGTTAGCTCAGGAAAATTTCTTGCAATGAAAAAAATTATATTATGCTTGAAAGTATTACTTACGTTTATTTTTGAATAGCGTATCTATTAAGGTCCTAAATTTTTTTTAAAAAATATATATACATTTTTCTTTCACAGATGATGGCACTGGAGGTTCCATGTCAATTCATTCCCAGACATTCTCACCACTTCTTTTTATCTTGGCATTCTTGGCTCTTTACCTGTATAAGGATAAATGAATAAACTCAATTCTATTATATATCACAAAAAGAAAGCAATTTATTGCGAAACCATATCGAAAGGAATAACTAATGTTTAAATAAAATTTAAAGTTGAAATTAAAAAAAAACTATTGACGATACAGTCCGTGTGCCCCTTGGCCGGAAAAAAATTCTTTGACAATTCAGTGTGTATATAATTGTCTTAAGATTGTTATTAATCATAAATATGTATGTTGTACGGGTCTGAAAATAACAATTCCAATTTGGGAGAGGGTCATGACATGACACTAGAGGAAACAAATTAGACTAGACATCAAATTCCTGCTTTTGTTTTCTTGAAAATATCTAATTTTTTAGTGCTTCTTTAACTAAAAAACATTAATTATTTGCACATTTTATCAATAAAACTTTATTTGTTATATGTTCTTCCATAAAAAAAGAATACAGCTAACATTTATGACATACGTCCCGTTGAATACCATCATACGCATACGTGTCGTAGTAACAAAACCGACTAGACATTGACATCGTTCTATCAATCTCTCCTAGAACTTGCTCATAATTTTTTAAAGAAACGTTTCACTTTTTCCTGATTAGCACATTTCATGTATAGCTTGAGTTTTACGAAAAGTACCTCTTATATAGTGAAAAATCTTGACAAAACATCACATCTTGTTTTGTTACTGGCCAAGATCACGGCATATTACGGAATGCTTCCTATGTTACGAACAGTCGCCACTCGGAATCGGTCATTAAATTGGACATTTAAAATGAATTTTATGTGACATCATCACAGGACGTTATAAGAGATTGATACAAATTGGCAGAAACATCCATGTAGCCAGTACGATAAAATGACCAAAAATTTTCACAAGATTTTGCGCTTGATTTTGTGATTTTGTTGCTAGTTCCAATCCCACTGTGGGACGTGGAGACCGGACCTTCGGATGAGACCGTACAAACCTAGGTCCCTTGTTACAGTTCAGTAGGTGCTGGCATAAAAAAGATCCCTCTCTGCTCGATGGCCCTGAGTGTTGAGTTATAGGACAAAATTTGTAGCTCTCCATCGGCAAGTGGTGGCGTCTCCATAAGAGTGAAAAATTATAAAAAGTATTTGGCGTGTACGATATTTGGCGGAAATTGATTTTTAAACAAGTTAGCGTAGATCTGATTTAGCGCTTTCTGAATGTGCCTTATATGAATATATGAAAACAGGACATTTAGCGATGTGCTTGATTTAGCGGATGATGCTTTCCGCGAAAGGCGCTAAATAAAATACACAGCCAAATATAATACCTTTACAGTACTTATGTCATGTTTACGAATTTACAGCAGAATCTTGAATCTATATATAGTTCGAGTGCGTGCAGTTATTTGAGAATGTTTTCCTGTGAATCTGTATTAGTTTCTTGAATTTTTTGAAATTATTACCAGAAATTGTGTACATAAAAAATTTTGCAGTTTTATTATGTGTAGCTTTTACAAAATGTCTCACGTTCAAGAGAATGATGTCTGTTCTAGAGCCTTGAATAAACATATGATATGAATCTTTGATATATACATTTCGTTTAAGAGACATCGTGATGCACAAAGGGGAAAATTTTTGCAAGACCCGAGTAAATTTTGTTAAATTCCTAAAAGTATTAGGTTTCAGAAAATTACAGGTTTCAGAACCTAAAAATTCTAATTTAAGGAGAAAAATAAATTTTGTTAAATTCCTAAAAGTATTAGGTTTCAGAAAATTACAGGTTTCAGAACCTAAAAATTCTAATTTAAGGAGAAAAATAAAAGTAAAAATAATTTCAGTATGCCCGATACCGAATATATTGCTTAATACTTCTTCCTCCTAATTTTACGCGTGCGCAGAAAAGTTGAAAAAGTTTCCATAACTACCATGGTCTCAAGTGCATAGAATGAATGTAAGTAGACCAAAAAATTTGATGCAATCTTTTTAAAAAGTTGTTAAAACATATTTCTCACCTTCATGCTCCAGTTGAATGTTGTTTACAAGTTTGAGCTAAAAATAAGAGTGGTGTGACCCTAACATATACGAAAACAACGAAACGGTAAATACAACCTTTGTTTTTCCGGCACTTATATTGTGCAGTCTTTTCTTGCAATTTAACTGTCATATCTTGCCTAAATACTCCTAATTTTCATAAGTCTTCTATATATGCAACAGATATCTGGAAAGAAACCATGATTTTGACTCATATAGTCACTTTAACTGAAACGGGAAATACCTTCAAAATGCTACTCCCTCTAGATTTTAAATCTGATTTCAATATTAATAGCCCCGTGGGGATCCGGGTTAGAATAGGTCCTCAGTACCCCCTTGCTTGTCGTAAAAGGCGACTAAATTGGGCGGTCCTTCGGATGAGACCGTATAAACCGAGGCCCCGTGTCACAGCAGGTGTGGCACGATAAAGATCCCTCCCTGCTCAAAGGCCGTAAGTGCCGAGCATAGGCCTAAATTTGCAGCCCTTCATCGGCAATGGTGACGTCTCCATATCAGTGAAATATTCTGGAGAAGGGACGTTAAACAGTACACAATCAATCAATCAATATTAATAATTTTGCGCACAAGTAAACACACTAAGATGCATAATTCTTTGTATCGGTTTTTGATTTTGATGAACGGTGTTACCTTGGTTACTAAAAATAGAAATTTTTGTGAAATACTTTTAAAACTTCTCCTCCTACAGTTTCAATCCCATAATAGACTACTACACGAAGATACATGATTCTGAATATCGGTTTTTGATTTCGATGAACAATATTGCCATGGTTACTACAATAAGCGTGGTTTAAATAAAAAAATATCTACATGCGGGCGGGGCGAGCAAAGGAAAAAGAGAGGGGCTGTGGATAGTTCTTGAATTTACTGAATCAATTCAATATACGGAAAAAACTGTCAACTTTTGGGTTTTTAAGAGGCACCATTGCGTTCTAATTTAATGCAAAAATGCCTTCCGCATCTGAGCAAATTATCGCCTTTTAACTGGCTTTCAGAGATCATTTTATAAAATCAAAAACCTTTTTTTCTAAAGATACTTTTAAATTAGCAGGTTTTAAGATGTGAATTTGCAAAATTTGTCAGGGCTAGTGATTTTATGGTCAGGGTTAGTAAAAATCAAAGAAAGTAGTCAAGTGGTCTAGTACTCATAAAAGTTAATGTCAAACCCTGTTAAAATAGATTATTCTGTGCAATACTTTCAAAATTCTACTCCCCTCACAGTTTTAGTCTGATTATAATATAATTTGGCATACATTGTCAAGTAGATTACACTACGATACATATACTGTCATCGTCTCAAGCCACGGTCCGGAGTCCGCAAATACAGCTCTCTCCTACACGTGGCTGCTTGATCTCAAAAAGTGTCGTAATCTTGAATATTTACGCCTCTCTATTGTGACGTCATATTCAGTCAGTGGCAAGTTTTGTTTCCATCGCAATCGATATCGACAACTGACGTCAACAGTATACAAGAAATAATTCCTATTCTGCGATTGGATATTGAAAGGTCGCGATAAAGTTCATCATCCGACTATGCTTTACTCGGATTGGTCAATATTTTAATGAGCTACGAAGAATTCTCTCCTCGTTCAACCACGGCCAGACGGGAGATCGAGAAGCGTACATTTTGGCCGTGGTTTGCGACGATGATATACTGTATATGAGTTTTTAATTTCGATGAATGGTGTTACAATGGTTCCTACGTATAGAAAATTCTCTGAAATAATATCGAAAAGCTAATCCTCCTACAGTTTTGGTCTAATTTCATTAAAACTTGGCACACAGTAGACTATACTAAGATACATAATTCTATTTATGGTTTGTTTTTTTTTGTTTTTTGTTTTTTTTTTGATAAACAGTGTTGCCGTGGTTCTTAAAACAGAACTTTCTGTAAAATACTTTACAAATGCTACTCCAAATACAGCTTTAGTCTGATTATAATATTTTGTGACATGCATGTAGACTACACTGAGATACATAATTTTCTTTGTTGTTTTTTTCGCGTTATTATGCTTTTTATTTTTTTTCTCTCCATGATTGTTACTATTAGGATTTCGTAAATTATGTCCTTAAGTTTACAAACCAAAGAACATTTTCTTTTCAGTAATTTGTTTCGAAGACTAATATAGTAAGTTAATTATTTTTGAGATTCAACAGAAAATCGTTCATTGTTTACCGTTTTTGAAGTATCTTATCTGTGGGACAATAGATAGATGTTGGATAGAGTTGTTCCTTTCAAGGGACTTTTACAATAATTGAACATGTTCTCCATATACATGAAAGTGCTTTTTCTAAGCAGTAATTAAAAAAATATTGATTAAGTTAACTTAAATATGGTAATGTAGTCTAGGAGTCAGAAAAAAGGGCAATATAAAAGGAATTATCTTAATCTTGGAGTTTAAAACACAGCAAATTTATTATGGAATGCTTTAAAAGGATTTTGCCTCAACTTAAAATATATCGTTTTGAAAAGATATCTGTTTGTTTTTAAAGTCGTTGGTCTTTTTCAATATTTTTTATAAAGAAGATAAACGAAGGGTAAAGATACGCATTTTCCTATGTAACAATTAAAACTTATCGATCTAAATTCATTTTTGAGAAGAAATGGAAGCATCAGTATGCTTCTTTATTTTCTTGTTGTGTAGAGATTTGACGCTTGTTACTATGAAAACCGAGGAAAACGGATTTTTCATAATCCAGACCGGACAGGTGCCCAGAAAGTCTTGTATCTTAGATGAATTCACTGTAGAAAATACTTCCTCGCCTGTCATTGGCTGTGGTGTAGAGTGCAATAAAAACCAGTATTGCGTCGGAATGGACCTAATTTCAGATGGAACAAACGTATGTCGGCTTTTATCAGGTTTTGTGAGCATTGTCCCGTCGATGTCAGCAGTTGATCAGTGCACTCGTTATCAAAAGGTTTGTTTGAAACTACGATATATTATCAAACTCAAATGTACAGGTATTAAAAGTTATTATGTTTCTATGTATGTTGTTTAACGTTCCTCTCGAAAATTTTTCACTCATATGGAGACGCCACCACTTGCCAATAGAGATCTAGAGTTGCAAATTTTGTCCTATACTCGGCACTCAGGGCAATTTGTCATGCCTAAGGAGGGATCTTTTTCGTGCCAGCACTGCGACACAGAACCTCGGTTTAATTTTTACGGTCTCATGCAAAAAAGTTACTTTGTATTAATGATATAAATATGTGTAGAGTGTAAAACACTGTAATGCCTATAATGTCTGTAACCTTAAAACAAGATTTATTTTCTATTTTCTTTTTCAGTCAAATGGGGAACCAAAAGGTAAGTTTTTGTCTTGACCAGCTCAGTCAAAAAAGTATATATCGTCATTTTTTCTAAACCTCTGCATCTATATAACCTTTTCAATTTTTTTTAAAAATAGTATTCAAAAATACGAAATAACAATTTGAATTTAAATTAGCGTAACTTTAGAAACACAACTATAGAATAAGTTTCTCCATTACATTAACGTAGCAAATAAATTTATGTCAGATGATTCATAAAAAAAATCTATAGAACATATAAAAGGAAAACAAAATTAAGGAAGGTACTTCTACTGCAAAATATTATCATATTTTAAGGACAGGACTTATACAAGAACTGCATCATATCATTATTTTAGTATAAAAAAAAAAACTGCATTCTATTATTTAAGTATTGCATTAAATATATTTTTACTACCGTAAAAGTGGAAATTCTAGCGAGACGCAAATTTAGCGATTTGTCCTTAAAAATTGGTATTTTATTTTTGCGAGATGTAATTTTAGCGATTTTAAAAAGCTTTTACAAATCAAACACAATTATTTTTTAGCGATGTTCAATTTAAGCGATTTTGGTACCCTCACTAATAATGTCAAAATTAAATCCTCGCCAAAATTTCTGCTTATACGGTATTGCTTTCGATTATTATTTTTTTAAGAATAGCATTATACGATATTTGTTAAGTAAAGTATTATACTATTTTATTTTTTAAGTACAGCATTATACTATATTTTTCCGGCATTATACTATATTATTTTTAAGTAAAGGATAATAAAATATTAATTTTTAAGTACAAAATTGTATTATATTATTTTTTGTTTTTTAAGGACGGGACTTTTACTGCAGTATAACATTGATGAACGGCGCATCGGTTGCAACTCTCTGTCACCAAGACACGTATCTATGGACGGTATGAATTCATGTATCATTAATTCGGGCCCTGCCGGTAAAACCAAAGGGAACTGTAGGTTTCCCCGGCGTCTGTCTGTCTGTCTGTCTGTCTGTCTAACTGTCTGTCCTACTTGGTTTCAAAACTATACTGAGTTCCATTTTAATGATTTTGGACGGAATTATTGCATTTTCAAGTTTTAATTTAAAGATGACACTTGTCGGTAGGGGAATAGTATTACTGAGGTTCTACTCAGGAAGTTTGTTGTTCTTTAAGATTTTGTCAAAAGAGTATTTCTCTAGCAACTTTTAATTACAAATGGTAACGTGGTATATGTAACCAAGACTCGTATCTATGGACGCAACGACACTGTAATTACTATTGGTCGTTCTTGTAGGTTTAATTTTACAGATTATTTCTTCCCATGAATTTTTAATTGTACAGAGTTCCTCTATAGTGAATATTTGTACAAATTTTCTCGTGAGATCCAGTTGAATACATATAACTTATTTTATTTCTCGTGAATTCTTGTAAATTTATTTTCCTAATTTTGTTCGATTTTGTAAAACAGAAGTTTTCGATGATACGTAATTTCGTGGACGAAAGCATTGTCTATACAAATGAATAACACATTTCTCAATTCCATGAACATTTAATTTTGTGAATCTGCTCAACAACGAATTCCTCGAAAATTGGTGCTCAAAAAATATTGGTGAAACCATAGTATAGCAATACCCCTTAAATGAATCTAAATTGTTTAAAGTTGTTTTATCTTGAAAAATTTCGTTTCATATTTTATAACTACTTGATTCCAGATTATTTGACTTATATTGCTTAAATGGGTTTTTACGACTCACTTTCTATATGTCTTAATGTGATATTTCGTGATATTCTAATCTAATTTATTGTTTTTGTAGATAATTCAGAGAAGATTAGACGGATCTGTTAACTTCAAGCAAAACTGGGCCGAATATCGAACCGGGTTTGGCACTCGTGACTCCGAATTTTGGATAGGTATGTAAACTGTGTTGAGAAAACCATTTAAAATTTTTGAATTAATGAACTTTTATTAATATCATTTATTTGGAAAATCTGTACGTTACACACACAACGACACATGGTGTTATCATTGTAAAATAACACTGGTTGCTACGAATTATATTTTATTTCAATTGTTACCTAACTTTCCTCTCGTTCGCCCTTTATTGTAATGAAAGTATTTCCTTTCAGGGAATGAAAACATACATCAGCTAACAAATGAGGGATATACACACCTTAGAATCGAGCTGATGGATCATGACTGTGTTTGGAGATATGCTGAGTACAGTAGCTTCTATACAGAGGGAGAGGGAACAAAATACAGACTGCACGTATCCGGTTATTCTGGAGATGCAGGTATTACACACATATTCTCATTCTCTCTATGTTGATTTGCTTGTTGTAAAGAAAGGACGTTGCTTTCTTTTTCTTGGCTGCTTACAATTGTAGCTTGAATTACAACTTCACTAAAAAATCACATAAACTACATACCGTTGCAGAAAATCACACACATTTGAAGGAAACATTCCAAGTACATGTTATTCTTGAGAACATGTTGTCAATCACATATATGTGTTTGTTGTTTGTATAAATTTTTTCTAAACTGGGACAGGTTTCAGACAAATATGTTGATGTTGCAGAGATATCAAAATACTTGTCAACATTTTATTAATAAGATGATTGGTATCATCTATTCTTCTAAGAATTCAAACTATGTTTAGGTTGAAAGTCGACTGACCTTTAATTAAAACTAATAGACAATTTTTTATATGACTTGTCTGCTGATCATACGATTTATTCGCTCAAGACAAAGGCTGGTTGATGAGGTATGCTCTCTCTACATGCCACATAGGTTCACCTCTGATATTTTTGTAGGAGTTTATGTTTGCTATCTATTTAATTTAAATGTTCACAAGGACCTTTTAACACCAAATGCTTTTCATAAAACTTCCAAAACAAACTTAACATTGTGCATGGAGAATTCCTCATTCATTCATCCAGCATTTTCCCGTTATTTCCGGATCATAACAAGGAGTACACGGTAAGTGTAACCGGTCGGCAGGGGATTCTCACTCCTCCATAGCACCTGATACTACTTCTAAGAGGTCCGTATTTGCTCTGCTCCGGAATTTGTATTGCTTGATGAACGTTTTAGCTTGAATACTGTTCGTTATCTCAATATATTTCATGGAGCACCGATTTTAATCTTTGTATATTTTAATTCATATTTTCATTAACAAATTTCTTAATTAGAAAACTGAACATTATGCAGCAGTCTGTTGTCTCATTTAGATTTGTTTATGTGTAATCTACAGGGGACAGCTTTCTTTACCACAACAATATGTACTTCAGTACTTCTGATAACGACAACGATAAAATGCCTGCTTTCAACTGCGCCCAGAATAGATTGGGAGGTTGGTGGTATAATTTTTGTCATGAGGCGAACCTTAATGGTGAGTACAGCAACACGGACTACTCTAACGGCATCAACTGGAACGCCTGGAGAGGGTTCTATTACTCCATGAAGGAAGTGAGAATGATGATAAGGAGATAACCCTGACTTTGAGTCCTGTGGTCACAAAAGATGTACTTACTACAATATTTGCACAGAGAAAGGCATTTTTTTTTAATATATAAAATGTATTGATTTCATGATTGTAGTGAAATATTTGATAGAAAGTGATTTGAGATCAAAAGATTGTTTTTTTTATTATGATAGCCATAGTTATTAGTTTTCCTTGAGCTTACTTTTTGAATAGAATGTTACCGCAATTTAATGATTGTTATTGCACATATATGGTAAAATAAAATTTCTGTTAGCAGATCTATGTTTTAACCTTATTACTCAAAAATAAAGTGCTATGAATATGAATTAATTTTGATGCTATTTTAAGTGTTTCTTTATCTTTAGCAAGGGTATTTGTATATATGTGTGTACAAGGATGTGGAGAGAACGATCATAGGCATTTACAGGGTGTTGCAGTTCAATCCAATTCAATGAATAAATTCAAATATATTTTTAAATTAACTGTGTGCGCTTGGCGTCCCTGTCTTATGGCATCAAAGACAGCAGCATTTTCAAAAGAATGGAACTCGAAAGTTTACCCTCTTTGTATTTCTCAGTGTTGTTTTAAGGTTTGTGAGTTGTAAAATACTGATTGTGCTCACCGGTGATGTTGAGCTTGCAAGGATGCTTGGTTTTCTGGTATACAACGTCTTTATGACTTTTGCAATTGTTGATCAGGTGCTCCAACTGTCTTTTGGAGTTCCCATGGGTACTAATTGACCCTCTGGTATATAATGACCTTATGGCCTTTAGAGATTAGGTCTACGGGTTCTTTGTCGGAGTACCATTAGGTATCAATTGCACCTTCGGTTTTGCAGAGTCTTTACAGTTTTGTAAGATCAAGTCCTTCATTTTCCCCGAAATACCATGGGTACTAACTGCACCTTCTGGTAAGAAATGATTCCATGATCTTTGGAGATCAAGCCCCGGTATCATGAAACATTTAAAGTTTATGTCTAAATCTCTCTCGTGTTCAAAAATATTGGGGTAGACTTTACCGGTCCCCAGATCCGCAAGATCCTCACGCTCATTTGGCCTATGACGTAACATTTACGTCACCCAACTTAGATAAGTTAAGAAATTCAGTTTTTTCTGGAATTTTTTCTAAGATCATAATTCAGCTTCAACGGCATTTCGTTCGTTTGTTTGCATGGAAGAATAGCCAAGTTCGAAAGAAATGACACTAAGCATGCGCCGCACGCGCTTCGTTCAGAATTATTCTATGTCGATTTTTTTCATGAATAAACAATATTTATTAATTTTTTTCTGAGAACCAGGTCAAAAACTTTGTTTAAAGAGAAGTTTTAAACTAAACTTTTAATAGTATAATTCGAGTTTGGGGTCAAAGGGCCAAAAAACCTCGTATTTATTATTTTTTGATTGCTCGCGCGATCTCATATATACTGAACTCGCCTTCACCGACACTATATTTTAGCGCGTTTTTCTGGGGACCGGTAAAGTCGTTCCAAGTTTTGTAGAAGGCAAGGATTCCAGATTAAAATATTCATCCAATTGTGCTATTCAAATGTTTTGATAATTGCAACTTTAGACATCAATTCCACAATTTTTTTTTTTTTTTTACAAGTTGTTTGAAATTTGACTTCAGTCTAAGATTTTTCATGATCCTGAAACCAGGTCATCCAGCTATCTGACAAAGTACCTGAAGGTAGTAAACCTACCCTCTGGTATGCTGTGTCTTTTCTGTTTTTTTTTTTATATCAGGCCTTAGATCTAGAACTGTTTGTCGGATTATCGTCGATATTTACTGCACCTTCTGGAATGCAGTGTCTTTATGGTTTGTGGAGATCAGGTCTTCAAACTGTCTATTGGGGTACCTGTGGGTTCTAATTGCACCCTGTTATTAGCTTTTCCGTTGAAAAATCTGTTTTGACTTCATGTTGGGCAAAAAATTATTGAGAATGCTTTACATGAGAAGAAAGCATTTGGTATGGACTTCAACATTAAGTTATATCGACGATGTTCGTATATTGGCAAACGTTACTTACATTCATATGCTGATTGGATATATTCCAGTTAACTTGAGGTGAAAGATGCTACAAATCTGTAACATCTATGATTTCATATTTAGATTATTAACTAGAAAACAAAATTGATGTTAACGGGATGTTTTTGAGGACGGAAATGAAAGTTGTGCAAATTACGGGTAATTAATAATATGCTAACTTCGAAACAATTAATGTTAGCACATAATTATAAATACAAAAGTGCTCCCTTGCCAAGACATATTGAAGGAAAACAAATATTCCAAATATTAGATTGAATCATATTGTGAAGTTTTAAAAGTATCAAAATATGAGAATCATAACCAAAACTTATTGAAATTTGAAATTTATATTAATTTTTAAAGTAAGTTTGTTTGGTCAGTATTATGCTTCCTACTGTACTTGCAACGACCAAGGTTATAGGTTTTAAAACAAAATAGAGAATTTCTTTTTTAAGTTCTATAGGTCAAACATTTATTTAAAGGTTTTCATGGAATGTTGTAGTTGATCTGATGTTTAAACAAACAAAAGTTTTCTTACAGTCTTTAGGTTTAAAAATTGATTGATTTCAGCAGGCGAAAATAGAAATTCTAGAACGAACTGAAGATATTATTACGACTTTATGACCTCTAAGCGTAATGCATAATTGGCTCTAAGGTTCCGGTTTTTAAAACAATATAATAGACTAAATCGTCGACAGTCTGTATGCAGTCAATAAACCATAACAGATGGATCATACATGTATACATAACTCAGAGCCTTTACATATTAACAACTAAGAATACATCGGTATCAAGGAAGGACTTAAGTGAGCATTTTGTTTAATTATATACGTTTTCATATTACAGTATATTTACATTTCCAATGTCTTTGTCGAGATATAATGTACTTTATTTCCTCATCGTGCAGGGCGGAACAAATAGAGAGGAGAAGTGGGGCTTGTAGGTCATGGACTTGCGGAATCAAGAGCATGTAAATAAATATAAAGAATTATTGTCAGATTTTTACGATTTCATGACGATGATCAATCGATTGGCTTGCATGATACTTTTATGCTTCGGCGTTTATGCAAATTATCACTCAAGCCAATCGATTGATAACATCATTAAATCGAAAAATAAGACAGTTATTCTTTAAATATATTCAGACGATCGAATAATTTATTGATAAACAAAATTCATGTATGTTTCCATTCAGAGCCAAGTCCAGTTGTAGGATTTCGTGTTGATACCACAGAGTCCTTAAAATTAATGTTAAATTTTCTTTTTGTAATTACCTACCTATATATTTCAATATATAAAAGGAGCCATTTTCAAGTTCCCTTTTTAGTTATTTTTAATCATTTACATGTATATATACATGACGATTGAAACGGATTTAAGCTGAAAGGTTGTATATCCTTAATAAAGAGTATTTTGGATGTCAATTTTTTTTTTTGTAATATTAATTAAGATCTGATTTTTTTCTATATAAAGTAACTGTCTGAGCATGATAAAAAGAGGTTGGATTGAGTGAATGAGCGCCCATCGTAATTGCAAGAGTTTTTTAAAGATCTGGTCATCAAGCCTACATAATCGTTGTTAATGAGTGACTCAAGCATCCTTTTAATATCAACCACTGAGTGTTTTTGAACAAAGTATTTAACCAATAAAAATAAAGACATAATTATATACGAGGGCTGTTCATTAAATAATGCCCTTTGTGCTCGGAAAGAAACAACAAAAAAAAAACTTTCTAATGATTTAGTCTTAATGATTTCATGTACATGTAAATATGCTCTTTTTATTAAAAAAAAATCATATCCCTAACATTTTTATCCAATTTCTCTTGACACTTAGTAAACTGGATTATAGTTGATCCTATGATTTCATGGACTTGTTTCTTCTTTCTGAAAGGTGTTTTTCAAGTTTGGAAAATAAATGGGGGAAAGTTCTGGCGAATATTGTTGCTGTGACAAAACTTAACTATCTGTTTATATCAAAAACTCATTTACTTTTTATTGCGTGTGGGTCATAAAGAAATTAAATGTAGTGGATTTCTAATACAGGTTCCATCCTCTCACAAACCATGTTTTCTAGACTTCTCCAGAAATTGAACTGCCTCCCCGAATAAGAATTTGAACAACAAAGCCACTAATATTTAAGAAAAAAAAACAACTTACAAAACTGTTTTTGTGCTTTTGCAATTCTTTCCTCTTTTCAGACCTTAGCTGTTTTTGTCATGTGCATCTTTAGCTTATTGTAAATTTGTTTGTTTTTTTTTTTAATTTAAAGCAATGGATTCAGGTTTCATCATCCGTTTGAATTTAAGACACACATGGATAACGTCATTTTTTGATTTTAAAAATTGTTTAGATATTCTTACACGCTGTCGATCTCACTCATTTTTTTAAAACATAGAAAGACGATTGAGAACTAAGCTTTCTTTCTGTCAAATGTTTTTTTTTAAATAGTGTGAACTACACCCATCATCCTATCAATTTTTCTGTGTATCTTAAAGTCAATCAAACACCATCAGTAAAAATTTGTTGAATATTGGTATACAGTACATTTGTTGATGTTAGTCCTTTATCCCAGGACAATACACATTTTTTATGCCCATTATATAATTTTTATTCATTGAAATCTGCCTGCTCATGTGTCTATAAAACAAACATTGGTTGCTGTAAATTTCACATATTTTAGTGAATATTTCTTTTGGATTCTGAACGAGTTTTACAGCAGCTTAAATGAAGCGTTTAATTTAACTTTAGTTTACTGATTCTTTACCATTCATTTTTAATGCAGTGTCTCGAGTAGCCCTTGGTTTCCAGCTTCTCATAATGAAACCTACGTTTGAGTTAACATGATATGACGTCCTAAGATGTATCAACTTACAAGATTTGATGATACAAGTCTTTATTGCAACCAAATATCAAGTTTTTATAAAATGTATTTTTGGTCTACCTTGAAGTGACCTTGGGACCACGCCCTTTGCCCCGAGTGATGACTTGAACAATTTTAAAAATTCAACAAATCTTCATCATTGTTTGTAAGTTTGGTAATAATTTGCTTGTGGTGTCTTGAGAAGAAAATTATTTAGAGACGAATACTTTTGGTTTTATTTACCTGATTATCAACCCTTGTGTAAGGATTACATTCCTTAATGTTAGTACAAAAAGGCGCCCTTGGACAAAGGATAGCCTTTGACAAATTAAACAATGTAGGCACGCCGCACGAATGGCCATAGCATTAGCTCTTTGAACCTTACGCTCAGAAGAGCTAAAAGGTTTAGGAAAAAACATAAAATTACCCTTGTAGAATTTGTTAGATTGCATAATGTACGAGGGTTGGTACAAAAGTAATGTAACAACTTCAATAAAAATGTAAATAGTCGACGTAAAAGAACGAAATTATAAATGATGAATTCTTTATTTATTTCAAACTGGACCTGAAAAGAACTGCGAACGTTAGTATTGTTCTCCAGCCTACCTCCACTTCAATTTTCAAAAGTTAACTTATTAGAATGATTTTTTTGCATTGTTATAGATATTTATAGTGATTTTCATAAAACATTAATTATTTGGGAAAACAAAGAGAGATAACTCTATAATTTTGAAAAAAAAAAAACTTGTGGTTTTCAATTTAGAAATCAACGGAAAAATTAAAAATATTTTAAAAACACCTTCCCCCTTTAAACAAAAATTCTTTTTTACTAGTTCTATTGACGGTCATTTTACCGAAGCTTTTTGTCATTTGAGGGGAGGGTGGCATATGTTTATAGACCAAAAAAAGACAAAATGCTTATTTGTTCCACCATTTTATTAAACAATTCACAACTAAATCATTGTATTTTATCAAAATTTTATTTTTGATTTATTTGCGTAAAACAGAAGAAGAGATACAAGGAACATTTAATCATATCCAAGACTATTTCAAAATATGGTGATGCTTGAAGGGCCTATTTTAATGGAAAATATCGTGTGCGCCTCCTTTGTTTCAGGAGCTGGATTTAGGAAAGAATTTAGTATTTAGCGCGGGTATTAAAATAATTAATCAAATAATTTTTCCAGTCATATCAGGGTTGGAATAGTAAAATGCACAATGTAATTTGATTTTATTTTGTAAGCTGTCATCTGATTGATTTTTCTTAGAAACAAATTATTTGAGGTCCAAATCCGACCATACAAGCTCATATATATAATTTATTTACAAGCATATGTGTATTTTTTTAAATAATATTAATATAATCAATGATAATTCAAAATATATTTGTCAAAACTTGATTTTTTTAAATAATACTTATCTCCGAAAGTAATTTAACTCATAATATACACAATATTCGTGCACCAACATATAGCGAGATACATGATTCAATAGTGACCGAGAACAAAATTACCCAAAAAAGAAGACATTCTACTGCATATTTTACATTCTTTTGGTAAACTGTTCCCTCCATTATGAAAACATTTAAGCGAAAGTACTTTGAACTTTTGACATGGTGTTATCGCGAATGCATCGATGTCCTGACCTCGTTTTTATTGTTTGTTCACTGATGCTTAAATAAAAAATTCGTGATGGGAATGGGAAGGTTTTCTTTTCTGCAAGCTATCGTTGTTTTCGTATTTGTGGCTCATAGTACGCATATATGTAAGTATAAAATTAATAACATTGGTATACCATTTGTTTACAATCATTTCTTATGGTTCTTTATGGATTCGGAAAATGACAAAATAATATACGTAAGTAAACGTTTATTCTCTACTCTGTTGAGTTAATTATTATTCAGTATGCATGAAGGTTAAAAGTAGTTACACATTCTATTATCAATCGACATACAAGGTTTTAGCTAACCAGAACTGAGGTTATACTAAAAAAGAGATTACGAACAGTTCGTATACAAAGAGAGGTCCTTTATGGAAGCCCACTGAGGACCAATCAATTTTATTTTTGAATCTTTTATGATGAATTGTCGACATTGTTAAATTCGTTTTAAGTATTAAAAAACGAATTTAGCCCGTTTTACCTCATTTAATGTTTTATATTTAGATGTGGCCTCTCAATTTAGTACTGGTATCAAAGTACTTCATTATGGACCCTATCAAATCGGTGACACTTATCGAGGACTATGTGACGTAGAATTACCTCCTGATGATAATATAACAAACGTGGATGCATATTGGAAATTTGGGAATACTGACTATTGTCACAACGGTCAAAAAGTATTGCTAAATAGAAACTATACATGCAATGCAACTACAGTACAGAATACAACTGCCTTTGAACTACGAATTCCAGGTACAGCATGGCGATTTGTTTTCATTGCATTTTTCATGATTTCTTAACTCATAATAAGTCCATCTTACAAAGTCTAACAAAAAACAATTTCTTCTCTTATTAGTTCTGACATTACACGACGCTGGTACATACTTTTGTAAAGTAAAGCATAACACAAAAGGGGCTACTACAACTTTTTCTGATAATGTTACAGTCATAGGTAAGAATAATATATGCTAAAATCATATGTATTGAAAAGAATCACTCATTTCTGCAATTCTTACCTCAGTCTATTGTCGTAAAAATTCAATTATAGAATGATATTTGCAAATGATTTTTCCAGACGATATTACTTTAGTTTAAAAATTACTATGGCATTGTTATTAAACACAATCTAATTTAAATCAAACTTCTTAGATCCACGCCGTATGCACTATGCGTCACGCAGAGTGCATATGGTGCGGATCTAAGAAGTCTGATTTTAATAAGATTGTTATGAAACAATATCATATAAGGAGATTATTTTCGTAGTTTTCATTGGCTGAAAGTACGTCACGTGATATTCCACCTTTTGTGATATCGACGCGAAAGCGCGTCCGCGGAAAATGATATCGCACGACACGCCGTTCGTTTGCACTAAAGTTACGTAGTACGTGACTTAAGCTTCATAATATAAAATAAGATAAAATAAGATTTATTAGTACCAATATAAGAAACGTGAATTTAAGTTAACCATTGTGACGTAATGACAGTCAAGTCTGTTCAGTTACGACTGTGTCAGTGCATTCAAATTGAGTGATTATATAATATAACTATTATGGAGTTCAGTGTAGGTCGATATGTGGTTATAAGGACTCATGGCAATTGATATTGACCTCAGACACAGAAAATGATAGCGACCTTGCAGGCTTAGTTGCTATCACTTTTTGTGTCTTCGGTCAATATCAATTGCCATGAGTCCTTATAACCACATATTGACCTACACTGAACTCCATAATTGTATATTATCTTTAGTTCATTATTTAAGTATTGTACGATTATTTAAAATAAGTTTTTCTTGTCTTATAGACCCTTCCATCACAACACCAGGTAATATCCTTGGTTATTTCTTTAAAATTGTTTCCTTTTGATCTTTACTTTACAATTTTTCTATCATTATATTTCAATAAATTAGCTTTATAGATAACAGATCTTACAATTTTACAATCTTACAATTTTGAGCATTTCTCTGTATATATGTATATCCTATTGAAATGCTGGTTGCTTGTATTGTGTACCATTGGAGGAAAAAAATAGTCTAATGTAAACACACTCCTTAATCAGCAATAATCTTTTGAATTTCCGGTTATGCTTCAGGCGAAATGATAAGTAAATAAAATTAAACAAACAGATCTTTACACCTCTAAAATATTTATAAAAACAATTGAATTAGATACAGTAGAAATGTATCAAAATATTCCTCATGTAAAACAATTGAACGTGAAAAAACATTCCTCTATGCATTTTAGAAAAAAACTTAATAATTATATTCCAGTGATTATAAGAACATTTTTATTAATATTCTAATGTTTGTTTTCTTTTGTAGAATCAACAACAGTAACTACTCTTAGTAAGCATCTCCTCTGTTGTTTTTTTTCCAAAATTTACATTAATTTTTCTTTTCTTTTTTTTTAACATATTCATTGTTTTCATTCATCTTCGTTTAAATGATCAACAGAAGTATATATTTTGTCAATATAAAAAGTGACATTCTTTTATTAAATTTATGACTGAATTTTTTTGTTTCTTTACAGGTGGCAGGGACGACACAGGAGGAGCTGCCTCAGTAGAAACCAAATTTCTATCAACTGTCTTCATCATGCTGTCAGCTTCTCTAGTTTATATTTGATTTTATATGCGATTTTACATTATATTCATATTATCTATGGTCAATTCATACCTTATAATTTGTATTTCTGACTCTCTAATCCATTTCAAATTTCGACGACAACATGAAGTAAATCTCTAAGACAATTCAACTCCTTTATCGTAATGATCAAAGAGAACCTAATCAAGTTAAATCAGGTGCCATTTTTCTTTATCTTTTTTATACTATTCTATGAACCTAATATGTAATTATAGTTTTGTCATGCATGCATAAATATGTAATGTTTGTTTTGGAGTGCTTGCTTTTAATTTGTAATAAAAATGATTTGTTTCTTCGTCTTTATGGCTACATCAGTACACCCTACACAAGAAAGTTATATGTAACAAACAGGTATCGGATTTAAATTCCAGTAATTGATTAAGAAGCTTCTTTTCTTCCTTTTCACAAAAACATTAGCAGCAGTGAGACACATTGTAGTAATCTGAAGTTGATATTACACAATCAAAAATTGTGTAAATTGCTGATTTACAATAACTTCGTGATCTTTGGAGGTTATGACAGGTTTTCATATCTATACGAAGCAGAATCATTCTCAGCCTTCTAAACACTTTCTTGCTGTGTCCTTCAATTCGCATAAAAAATCATGGTGCCTGTAATGGAAGGATTCTTTTAAATTTATCTTTTTAAACATTTCTTTTTTTTACCGGAGATGTACAACCATTTGTTTTTAGTTTTGTCGAATTTTATTCTTGTAGCATACTTTAAACTAATTTTATAGGTTTTTTTTTTCTAAAAGTAATTTCCCATTTGTTTTAAGAAAATTCATTTTATCTCCTCGGAGTTAATTTAGACTAAATTAGATATTATATTATTTATAGAAATGGCAAGGGTAAGAAAAAAAAGATTATTTTAACCTATGTAATGTCTTAGGGTAATGTCAAACTAAATCTCACTCTCCAATAAAATCAATTTGGTCTATTTCGTATAAATCACTATTTTACTATCTTTTTTTTCAATATCTTCGAACCTGAGTTTAGCGAACATGCGTTTCATGGTACTTTTCTAATGTGTTGAAATCAGCTATCTTAACATTCAGATGTTATTTGTGTAGGTTTGTTTAACCTTAAATCACGGAAGTGATAGAAATGACGAAAAAACATAACTAAATCTCAGGTAGATGAATCGCTTATTTGTTGTAACAATAAGATGCTGATGAGTAGGAGAAAAGATGTTAAATTTGCAATTGATATTCCAATTTAAATAACAACAAAGAAGATGGGCGTATTTGGCGTGTGATCTGCAGGAATCATTTGTACGAAACATTTATGGTTTAAATGCCCATGATTTGGTTGGCTGAACATAGCTGGTCAGATTTTACAAATATGACCAAAGTATTTTTTTTTTTAACATTTAGTTTGAAAGACCTTGTCAGATTGTAACATTTATGTCCGTTTTTTTCCTTGGGGTACTATAACATAATAATGTTTCACAAAAAATAAACACCTGTAAGATTAAAAGCATAGATGATACGACAGTACATGTACATCATAGAATAGAAGATTGGATTTGATTTCGCTGAAGAACCAAACTTAACAAAAATTTATCTAATTAAAAATTTTAATACACCAGTTTATAAAATAAAACTGACAAAATAAATGGTTGTTTGCATGAAAAAAAAAATAATAAAAGCCCAATGCGAGACTAGAATCAAAAACTTTTCGCTTCGAGTGCACTTAACAGGCAGTCCATATTACTGAACTATCACAACTACACATATATAGCTGATTTTAAAAGGACAAAGAAGCACTACATCTACACATTTGGATTTTTTAGGAAAACGTTTCATTTTTAGTGGTTTCTGGGTCTTCTTTCCATTTTTTTTTTTACAAATGTATGTGCGTTTCTTTGAATGCAAATGCACACAAATAACGTTTTAAAATCATGGATACAAAACCCAGAGATAGAAAAAAATTAGAAAAATGTATTTCAAAATGTACCTATTTTGTACCAAATGTCTGATCTGGTCAATTTTCAGGTTATTTTCAGGAAACCAAAACTCACTTTCGGGAATATATTTTCCTTTCCTGTTGCAAAAGAACCCGATAAATTAAAAAAAAATGTGAAAATTTCATGTGACATGTCGATACTTTTTCACTTTTCAAGTACGCCCAGATTCCTGCCGAATGCCAATCAAAAGCGTCCTTGTTCTTTAATGTCTCACTGTTCTTTGATTACTTTAATACTTTAATTCAAATCTACAATACGGTAAATGCATATGCTGCATATTAACAACTAAATTAGAATTTCAAGGTTTGTAACAAAGCGTTAAGAAGTATTCTACATCCCATATACATGTATATTTGAAATAAATTTTGGCTCATATAATTTGTAAATACATCAATCCATTTATTTTCTATACGCGTCCAAGTTGCACGTCATCCAAAAATCACATCTACATTTCTAAACCATATGGTAATGAAAAGAAAATGCCTTCCTTGGGTGATGTTATAGATGAACGGAAATTGATTTGACATTTTTAAACCAAATGAAGATTGAACATTATGATATACTTTTTTCATTGATTTAGGTTGGGAATTAAGACTTCTAAAAATATTTTTAGCACCGGTCTTACCCTGGAGACAAATATTGTCTGGTCACTTATGAGAATAATCCACGTTCTATTTTTGTGTGTGAGAGAGGGTGTGTGTGTGTGTGAGAGGTTGAGTGTGTGTGAGAGAGGGTGAGTGTGTGTGTGAGAGGGTGAGTGTGTGAGAGAGAGTGTGAGTGTGTTGTCTTCCTAATTAACAATCTTACTTATCAAAAATCAATCATGCACTGGAGGTTTTATAAATATTACGTTTTTTAAAATGATTTAATAAATATACTTGGATGTTTTGGTGAAAGTTTCCATGCAGTATATAGTAGCCATGTTCGTATGAGATAAAATTTCAACCATTTTCTCATTAGATATTTTTAAATGACTATAAACATGATAAAATGATTAGAGTTACTCTAAAAATAATGATTTTTTTAGCCTTTGAATCATCTCTTTCGATGAGAAAGCAATCACTTTTTCCCCCACCAAACAATTTGTGCCTCTACATCAATATTGTGCACATATTTACAATCGGTGACAGAAGTGGGTCATCTATCATTACAAAGAAATGATGATCGTATTATTCGACGAATTGCTTGCTATCTTTCCGGTCCCAATAACAGGGGTCTCCTTCATGATATACTAGTATATTTTGCGTGCGTTTACTACAGTAACCACGGATTCTTCTACTTATTTACAATACATTGTACACCCAATACTTGGTTCATTTCGTCGACAATCTAATAAACGCTAAATTTGATTTATTTATCAATATCTTTTTGTAGCGAATTAAATGATTTAATTTCACATTTATAAGGAACATAAAATATTTTACAAAACTTTGTCAACTTGATACTGTCAACATAATTATCGGAATAAGGAAATAGAAATTAAAATAAATTAACAAAAATAATCCTCTTCTGTACACACACTTTTATACTCGTAGGTTTGGATAAATGTTGATTTGGAAATCAAATAAAAGTTATATTCTTGGTAGCTTTCTCTTTAGTTAGATTTTCTTCTAAAGCTATAGTATTTCAATGAGCATTAGTTTTCGATTTTTTTTAATTGTTTAGAAAAGCGATAAAAGATAATGTTTTTTTAGTTTCCAGTATAAAATTGCACAACATGTACTAAATGAAGGATATCGAGATAACGAATAGTATTCACTATCAAAGTCCTTAAAAAACAAATTGATACAAAACAAAAGCAGAGCAAACACGGACCTCTAAAACATTGGAGGTGGGATCAGGTACCATGGAGGAGAGAGCAGCCCCTGCTGATCGGTCATATATTAGCCATAGGATGTGATATGTAAACACTTTGATTTTTCCATAAAAATGTAGAGTAGGGTTGAAGTTTTTGTTATTTTCTTAAGTAAGTCAGTTTCTGTTATAGTAATACTTCAGCTTTTTGCTGTATTATTTCTTATCTTAGTATATGTACCGTTATTTTTATTGGTTAAGGAATGCTTTCGTATGTATTGCAATTAAACATGTGAAATGAATAAAAAATTTAAATTCCAATCACAGTATGCGAAATATTTTTGTATACTGGTCATGTCCATTGTTGATTTCCATTGCGATGGGGAAAAATTGTCATTGCTTGATCATAAGTTCACAATATAAAGGCGCAACAATTCAAGATTATGACACTCATTGTGATCAAGCCGCCATGGGTAGGAGAGAGATACATGTATATGCAAACTCCAAACTGTGGGTTGAGGCAAGGGTTATTTGCAAACTTGCTTAGACCGCTCTCCGACCTTGGTCGCAGAGTAATACATGCATGTATCTGACATTGGTTTATTTGACTTTATATATTATCATTTCTTTGCTTTCTGTAATATTTTTTCGCCCAAAATCTGTTTTGAATTTTTAAATAAAGGTATAGACTTTACAAAATTAAAATAATTTTTTTTTATTAAAAATGTTATTTTATTTCAAAATGAAATGAAACAATCGGTGTGTTTTTAAGTTTGTTAAATACATTTTCACTATTATTCGCTTATTACTCTGAAATGCTGTTTTCATTTTGTAGATAATTCTGCATGCTGTAAGAATTAATATTCAATAATAAAATGTTACCTTAAAGAAACTGTTGTTTTGTCGGGATGCTTCCTGGATTAAAATGACAGATACATGTGTAATGCTTTCTTGTACTTGAGAAAAAAAAATCATTTCTTTCCATATGTATCTATAAAAATATGATCATGCATGGTAGCCATACCCTTATTTGGGGTGGTCATAATTTGAGCGAATTTAATTAAGTAAACCCATTTTTTACATAGAGGCATTTTCATTTAAACAAACTCAAATTCCTTGTCCAAAGGATACTCTGTGTCTAGTGTGGTTGAAAATGGTCAGGTCATTCCTGAGAAAAAGATGAGCCAACGACGACATCAATTACCAGTAAGACAACAGTC